TGTACGTCTCACAGCACACCAGCACCGGCAAGTTATTGGCCTTGGCCAGGGCCGCAATCATCGAGTTTCCCGTGCGGGAGTGCATGTCTCCGATAGCAAACATAGCTGCCGCTCCCAGTAGAACTTTGGTGGCCTGGGGGGGGGGGGGGGGCAAAGGCATTAACGTACATTTATTTATAGCATGAACAGAAAGGAAAGAAAATTATCATAATAATAATAATATTCATGATAACAATAATAATTGTAAAGTTTTCAACAATACAAAAAAAAACCAGAACAAATAAAATGAATAGAATAATAAATGTATAATAATTGTCATATTTAATAAAGATTAAAAAGACAAAAATTATGGATTGCATTTCTATACCATTCATCTGTGCTTGAAAGTAGGCTAAGGGCACTTAACAATATATCATATAAACAAACATTATACATGTATCATGATGACAATAACAATATAAAACAATAGTAATAATAATAAATAACAGCAATAAAGATGATAAAAACATTAGACACATGCAGCTTGCCAGCATCTCACTTGGCTACAGCATTTTTAACTCTATCCATACGTCATGTTTTACTATCGTATCCATACGACGTGGGGATATCTGTGCCTCCACTTTCCAAAGAGGAAATTTACTCGTTAATCCGATCCATACGCATTGCATAGCTGTCTGCCAATATGATTTTTTGAGAAATACTGAAAGTTTCAAAGCTAGATCTTCGTACTAGAAGTATTCTAAAATGTGAAGAATACAACCCGTGGTATAAAATTACCCCAGGCATAAGGATAGGGTTAATTCGCCAGGCCTAGTATGATTCCTTGCCCTTTATGATAGCTGGTCTCTCCAGCAGGGTCTGCAGGGAGCCAAGCGCTCCTTGGTCAAAGGATTCTTAAGAAAGTCCCTGAAAGACACTTTCCAGCTGTCCTTGCTGCACTTTTATGATGCATCAACTTTAGGTTTCCATGAGGACAACTCAGAATAGAGAATACTGCCTTTGGGATTCTAAAATCAGGCATTCTTACGACACGGCCAGCCCAGCGAAGTTGAGTCCTTTTAAGCCTAAAAACCACTCTTGGAATTTGTCCTTTTGAGAACTTCGTTATCTTGTGTTATGTCTTGCCATTTCATGTAAAAAACTCTTGAATTAACCCTTCCAGCCCCAGCCATTTTTGTGCACTCCCTCACCCCAGTCCCAGCCAATACAGCAGTATTTCAGAAAAAGAGGCATGCATTCTAAAAAGCGATGTAGTAACTTTGTAATGAGGTTTTGAGAATAACATATAACAATGTAAGAAAATTATAGTTTAATTAGGTTTGCCAAGTTTGAAAAACGGGCAAATTCTGTACCCCTCGAAACAGAATATACTTTTTTGGGACGGTGGGAGGTACAAGCGCTGCTGAAAATATACGGGCAAGGAGCTGGAAGGGTTAACATGTCTAAAGATTGCTCTGAAAGTACTTCAATGCTTGGGGGCGGGGGGGGGGAGAGAAACGATTTTCAACTCTATTATCTTTGACAACACTAAGTGTTTACTGTACAAAAGGTACACAGTGGGTGGTTGGCGGGTGCTCTGGTGTGGTTTGCTTCTTCTTTCCTATAAAACGTCTACCCTTCTTCTTTTTTATGTTTGTTACTCTCTTGTGACACACACCTCTAATCTTCTGGCGCTCAAATGACCTTATGCAGTTGTGAGCGCTGTAAAACCTCTACTAAAACTAAAAGAAGATACACACTCACCTCACTCATAGCGTGCGACGCGGAACCGATGTACACGTAGGAACACATGATGCCACAGCGAACCAAGAAACGCAACATGGATTTACCTGAGGGAAAAAAATAGTTTGCTTAACAATACACATTCGTCAAAAGAACAGTCGTATCAATTAAACTAACATTCATAATTTTTTTTTGCATGTTTCAACGGAATAAACCACCTCGTGTTTATAACCCTATCAAACACTATACTTGTGGAGGGAAATAATTCTAAATGATTTGTTTTAAATCTTATTTCGAATATTCAAACTTTATTTTTTGTGACAAAAAATAAGTTTAGACCAGGGATGAGCACTCTTTAATACTTTGCAGTCACTTGGCGTTGAAAATTATCCATTTCTGTCATCTGGCGCAGTTCTACGCCAGGCCCGAGAAGTCCATTGCAGTTGCTCTCCTGGCTGGGTGACCAGATGGTGTATTTTGTACTGCTGGCTGTGTGACTGCAAAGTGTTAAATTAGATAGGCCACCCCCCCCCCCCCCCCCCTCACCCTCAGTTCGTGGACGGCCCTCAACAACAATCACCCTGAACCGCTTGCCACTATCGTGAGCTGCTTTCAGAACTTTGGCGATCAAGGAAGAACTGTCGACATTGAGGAAAAAGGGGAGAGAAAAACAAAACAAAGTATAGTGTAAGTATGAGTTTTACAGCACTTGCAACACAATTAGATCCTCTAAGTACCGAAGATATTAGAGCTTGACTTAGAGAGTAACATACTAACAAAAAGGAGACGAGATAAGGATGATAGATATCAGAAAGGAAGGAAAGAGCAAATAATACCAGGGCACCCGTCAATCATCCTTATAATCCAAACCTTAACGTGAGGAAACAAACCATAACTTCATAAGAAAATGCAACAACAAAAAAGAGAAAAAAATAGCATAGACTTAAACTTCAGTGGACCCTCTCAACAAATGCAGAGTAAGAAAGGAAATAACTGTAAAATAAGAAATGAGGGGGAAAAGTGAAATCTATGTCTGTTATGAAATTAATGATAAATGAAAAAAAATAGCTTTCTGACAAGAGAATGGTCTATAAACAATAATAACAATCAACAGGAAAAGGAATGAAATAATTTATGACACAGGAATCGGTAGACACACGTTATAATCTCTCTCTCTACAGTTTTTACACACGTTATAATCTCTCTTTCTACAGTTTTTACAAATATTACAATGGCTAAAACGGTTAGAAAACTAACATTATACCTCAGCTAAAAGAAAACAATTTTTTTTTTAATTTAAAGTGAATATTTATTGCTTTTTCAACCACGATTTCTTCCTACAATTCGTCTTTCCGTCAGAATGATTAGAAGCCCATCAACACAATAATGTTCATTTAGTGCTGGAGAAAAGTAACAAATGAAACAACAGAGGGACGGCAACGAAGTAGAACCCACCAGTGGCAGAAGCCATGTGGGGAACAAAAACACTCAGGATAAACTAAACCACATTGACAATGTTAGACTATTGAATTGCTATGTATTATCAATAAGGAAGGGAAACAATAAATCCTGGATTGTTGATCACTTAGTTACCGTAATTAATTTGACTTATTTCCCAGCAATTGTACCTAATTGTACTTTCATCTATTATCTATTTGTGGTGGCCGAATTTTGCTATTCAAAGGGATTTTTAATGGCTGCATCGATCGACATGCGGTTTTCGCCAAAATATTCTTTAAAATATGCTCCAGATCATGACGCCCTTCATCTTTTCAGTTTTGAGACAGTTTTGTTGCAAAAAGCTAAATTTCTTTATTTCGCCCATTGATTTTGTAGGCCGACGCTTCTGTCTCTGCAATTTTAGAAAATCAGGAGCGGAAATGATATTTCACGAGGCACATTTAGTTTTGAGAGTATAGATCTAGATCTAGACCTTCTAATTTTTTGCATCTCTCAAGATTTATTGCTCCATTCCAGCCAATGACTTTCAGTTGATGTTAATGTACCAATCATTCCTTTCATCGAAAGGGGGCCCAGCTAGTCTTATCTAAACTCACACTTCCTCCCATCCTGTGTTACCACATGTGATCATTTTGGGCAGGTTGTTTTTTTAATGGTAAGTGTTTTACGGCCCTCACAACTGCATAAGGTCATATGAGCGCGCGGGACACGCCAAACATTTTCAATTGGTAGGAAATTTTGAATTTTAACTGGGTGGCAGCCGAAGAGTATTCTTATCGATTTTGGACCAACGGGGGATCTTTAGCGTGCACAACTTGCACATAGGACCTCCAAGAATATTCGCCTTTGTCCGAGAAGGCAAGGTGTAGATCTTTCCTTCCAAAAGATCAGGGGCGTGGATGAAGGACGGTCACTCTTGTCTGTGAGGCCAGACCTCATTTAATTATTTCTTATGTGTTGAATAAATCAACTTCCATCAAGACACAGAGTCTTTATCTTATTTTGCCTACTTGGTGGTTATTAACAACAACGGCAGAAAAATTCCATTACAACAGACAAAACATAGGATGGGAATGACATACGCAGCGTAGACCAGAATGACATCGTCGTCGTCGATCTTTGCGATGGCAAACTCAGCCACGCCCTTCG